TAGAATATTATCAAATACAACATATAAAAAGTTAGGAGGATAAAATTATCGAGTGATCAGATATACCTACTTTTGCATCAAATTTTAAATTAAAATATTAGAAAAATCTAAAATACTACAAATTATTAAAAAATGTTATAGGAAAAACACAACTATCTTCGCCTTGATAATTTCTTGAACTGCTTTAATGGAAAAAGATGATCTAAAGCTGCATGAAAAAAATCTTTTTCTATCTACAATTCTCTCTCTTTCTCTCTACAACCAGCTACCTAGGACAGAAAATGAAATATCATTTAAAAATTTAAGTGAATTTTGATATTTGTTAAAATATTTGACTTAGCGCCATGGTACTAAGAGACCCAGAGCTATTGTGCTCTCTTCAGAAATCCAACCAAATAGAGAGCACAATGTTGTTGTGCAGCGCTTAAAACCGCAACGTTCTAATTAAATACACGAAAAATAGAGTGCTTAGCACCAAGGTGTCTCCCTATACTCCCATCGCTCATAAGAGAAAATTTTCATAATTATATTTCACACTTAGAGACCCAAGAGACACACTATAAAATAAAACTCATGCATTTACACATATAAAACAATCGTAGACACTTGCCAAATGGAATTATTGAAAACTCAAACCCATATGACTTACCAAATCATATTTAAACTAGTTCAGGACACTGTAGCCATGGACGTGTGGGTTTATTCAAAACTATTAAAAGATAGTTAGGTTAACCCAGGTTAGTTATGGTTAACCAAAGTGACCTATAACAACTACAATCAATCTATGGTGCTTTAAGGGTCATCTAGAGAAAAAAAATAGGGTTTTGAGGATGCTTTACAACAACTTAGATTTATTTAATTTTCAAATTATGAGAAATAAATCTTAGAAGCAAATTATTTTACTAGGTATTTTTTTTTTTATCAATTTCTTTTACCTGGATTATCGATAAAGAGAATAGTATATTTTATGACTCGACTCTTGCGCCTTGTATTTTAGATCACTCTCAACCCGACTATATGCTTTCGTCTTGACTTCTTGATCTTGCCAAGATCTTGATCCATATCCTTGCTTGAGTTATATTTTTTCTAGGCTCACATACTCTATTTGAATTTCACATAAAGGAATATGATTCTTGTTTCAAGTGTATTGATTTAGAAAATAGTATAATAAAGATTAAACCAAATTATATTTATGATCATCAAAACAAATGTTTTGAGTCCTAAATAAGGGAGGAGGAGGCTTAATGCGATTTCATAGGGGAACGAGTAGAATTATATTCAAATTTCTCATTACATTTTGAGAGAGCAATCAAATAGAATCACTAATAAATAGATGAACTTCATCCCTAAACATGTCCAGAAAAAAATCATAAACTTTATGTGAAATTAAAAATAAATAAATAAATAAACTTTATGTGAAATCATTTAAAAAATGAGAGCAATACCACATATAGATTATTTAAGACAAAGTTTTCACAAAAAAAAGTGACTTTATCATTTATAGGTTTAGGAACAACTGTTTATCACTTTATGCTCCACTAGAACTGTGATGCCCCAGATATCAATAGTGAAAGGATTCGTTTGACATTCTGATCGAACTCCATTCCAGCTGCCTTGCTCGGACCTGAAAATTTTAACCACATATAATGAGCTTACAAAGCCCAGCAGGTCACCAAAGCCTACAACTGAAATCAAAGCACGACGATGCTATCAATATGCATGTCAGTCAATCAAATCCATATCAGTCAATGGTCAATGAGTCTATGCAATACGGAAATCCATAGTCAATAAAACCAGTCAATGCAGCGGCAGGCGAATCGATAAATCAATTCAATAAATCCAGGTCAATCTCGAAGAAATCCGTACACAATAGGAACTCAATCAATCCGTCAAATCAATTGCTATCAAATCAAATCAATGCGGCCTAATCAATACTATCTATTCAATGAAATCAAACGAGGAAAGCAGTACGATAAATCTCAATCTATTCTAACAGTGAATCCATGCAGCAGTCAATACAGTGCAGAAACAATAACAACAGTGAATCTATATGCAAGATCAATAAATCCATAGGCAGTAGTAACAATGAATCTACAAGCAGAAATCAATGAATCTATAGGCAACAGTGTCAATGATTCTATACTATTCATGTCCATGCTATCAATGCAATATCTATATCCATCCATTTCTATATCAATGCTCAATGTCGATGCACAGCAATCAATCAGTTAAATCTATGAAATCGTACGATCTAGTAAATACAATCAAAGTCGATAAAGCAGGAATCTATAAAACAATGAATCCATAAATCAATACAGTAAACATGCAATTCCATACAATGGTCTTACTCGACAAGCACAAACACTAGTCATGATCAATAGTGCTGTTGTAGAATCCATATTGCTGTTGTAGATATCCATACGTTGGTTTCAATAAAAAGAGTCGTCACTCTATTGCTGTTGTAGAATCCATATTTAAAGGAAACCCCGTCGGCCCACCATCCTGTACAGGTCAAGATCTATCAAATCGTGTATAATAGTCATATCTATAACATACCAAAAGTTGTGCGGTGGAAGTTGTGTCAAATCAAAATTAGGTCAAAAGTTCGACTACGAAAACACAAAACAATGCACAACTCGGTCAAAACTCAATATCTCTGAGAAAACAGAAATAGGATTCGGAGTCCTTACCACGAGATCTACACTTTCTCCAACAGCAGCGTCGGACGAAAAGCGCTCCGCGGCCTCCGAAACCAAGCTTTTCCTCTTTTCCCTTTCTCTTTCTCTCTCCTCAAATCAGATATTTTGTTTTAAAATGATTTTCTCTCTCCTCAAAACGAGCTGATTTTGAAAATCGATCGTCCCGATCGTCCTGGACGGTTCCCAGAACTATTCTCAGGCCGATATTTTGAACAGTACAGATCGGCCTGGACGATCTCACTATCGTCCCGGACGATCCTGGGAGGAAAATCCAAGTCAGAGAGGAACAGTAAGGGAACGAGGTCTCACAATCTCCCCACCTTAGAAAAATGTCGTCCCGACATTTCCCTACAGGTACGAAACAAAAACAACGCAAAACAAATCGATCCAAATCCAAATCAAAACTCATCGAAATCCAAACACACAATGCAATCAATCGCATGTCAATCACTATGTATGCAGAATGAATCCATTCTATCAAACTATTAATCAAATCATTTCACTACACTTGCTCTGATACCAACTATGAAGCTGATCGGCCCGGCCGATCGCCAAATCGTCCCGGGACGATCAGACCAAAATCGATCTTCCCGATCGTCCTGGACGGTTCCCAGAACTATTCTCAGGCCGATATTTTGAACAGTACTGATCGGCCTTGACGATCTCACTATCGTCCCGGACGATCCTGGGAGGAAAATCCAAGTCAGAGAGGAACAGTAAGGGAACGAGGTCTCACAAGAACTTCTCCAGCTAGCTTATGAATCTTGTCCTCAATTGTTCAATGGTATGCTTCACCATGATATTGTGCTAAAAAAATCAAATATGCATATGATTAAGGCTTCGTTTGAGACTGCTTTCTTATTGCTTCTTAAAGTTGCATCTTAGTACAAAATTTTTTAACTGTTTTAAGAAGCAGAAAGAAAGCTATCCCAAACAAAACCTAAATAAAAAAAGTAAACTTTTCTAATAATTTGAATAAATCATAAACTATTTATGATTCATGGTCATTTACCATTATTAAAGAAACCAAGCCTTATGTAACCAAAGTGGTTGTCGAGCTCTTATTTTAGTTATAATATCATTAAATTTTGCTCTCTTTTTATATTTTGACTTGCAATTCTATGATCTTTTTGTATCTTGTGAGTACTCTTTTATTGCACCATGAACAAAAATGAAATTAATATCCTCAAATGTCTAGTGAGAATGAATTTATGCTACGAACAATAAACTAAGAATTATAAGCATTAGAGCAACAAAATAAATAAATCAATTAATATGAAAAATCATGGCTTCATCAATAGTAGATAACTCATCTAAGGAATTCGATAAATACTTAGAGGAACTCGCCCATCACATACAACACATCCAATTTTGAAGTCGACCAAGGGAGAGTTCGACCACCCAAAATTTGAGGTCACCTAAAAAAGATTTTAACTTACTAAAATATTGTAGTCATCCAAAAATAGATTTCAAATCTTAAATGAAGTCGTCCAAAGGAGAGTTCAGTTCATCCAAATTTTGAATTTGTCCAAAAAAAATTCAAGTCATTCAAAATTTGATGTCGTCTAAAGGAGAGTTCAACTATTCCAAAATTTAAATTAATCCAAGTGACAATTCAACTCGTTCAAATTTTGAAGTCGTCCAAAGAAGAATTCAATTCGCCAAAAACATTGAAGTCATCTAATGCGTTGTTTAACTTCTTAAAAATCACGGGGTCACATACAGTTGAAATGATTTCACTAGTGTTTGAATATCTTACAAATGACTAAATTTGCTGTTTCCTGAAATTAAAGTTCTCATGGTCCCACATTTAATTTCGAAAGTTTTCAATTTCAATATGCCTCGATGTTCATGCTAAATCAAGGCGATTTTTCATAACATATCAATATCAGTTCAAAAAATTTAAATCACTAACACTCAACATATTATATTACAGGCTAAATGCCAAACAATCACAATATACTTTCAATAATTATATATCTTATAAAAATATTCATGTAAATATAACAAAAAATACTCCTATTTCATTCATAATAAACTTTAGATCTAAAGTTATGATCCAATTATATTTATAAAAATAGTCATCAATTATCATAATACTATTATAAGACTTATAAAATTAATTTTTAATTGATCATTATGCCAAGCACCTTTGTAAACCTATTTATTATTTCTTTATTCTTTTATGATTATATATACCATTGCTTGTGACAGACGGTAACGATTTAGATTAGAACGCACGTGACTTCCGGTGGAGAACTAAAGAAAGAGACCGCAGTGGTACTTTTACTTAAATAAATGGTGTAGTTTCTCCTACAACGTCCCACATTCCTCCGGTGGAAGCGGGAGCAAGCTCATTGCTTCTCCTACTGTCGTCACCGACAAGGCTCTTCTAAGTGAAACTAGGGTTTAGGCCGGGTATCGTCGTTCTTACTAGTATGTTTCTTTATAGCGCTGCTATCCACCAGAATCTATGTTTTCTTTTGATTTAGACGGTATTTTTGGATCTTGTTTAGATTTCCAAGCGGGAACTTCAGTGTCGCGCAATGGATAGGTAGAGATGACATTTTTCTTTACTTTTTTTCATTCAGGAAGATAGTGGGGAATCTTTTGTGTAGGAGCTTATGGCGATACCAGTCGAAGAGGCCATTGCTGCCTTGTCCACATTCACCCTTGAGGTACTTGAACGCCAGATCCTTTAAATTGGGGAATGCGCTTCCGTTGTTAGATCTTTTGTTTGATTTTGCCAATTTCTCTGGGGCCATGATGAAAACCATTTGCCCAAGGCTAAAGAAAGGCGAAGAAGCGTTTAGCCGCAATTACCTAAATGCGCCATTTGCCGAAGAAATCCAATTTTATTTTTATACTGGTATTCATGTTGTTTCAGTGATATGGAATGTCTTGTTAATGTTTATTAGGCGAGTAAATTCAATATTTAGTGAAATTATCCTTATTGTTAAATCTTTAAATATTTAGGGCATGAATGCTAATAGTAATACCAAATTGAAGGAAAGATAATGGGAGCAGTAAAAGTTGACAAAAAAAGGTAGAAAATGGCCAATTTTATATATCCATATTTGTTTTTAATCTATTAGGAGGTTAGCAGCCTTTTTGTGTATCTATTCTGTCATCTTTGCTTTGCATTCTAATGGTTATGTACTATTGTCCTTTTAGTTAAGAGCTTAATTGTGTTATATTGACTCAGTTCTTACTCAAATTGGCTCTGATTAATTAGGAAATTTTGAATCCAGACCTGAAGGGAAGTTAACTTGAAACTTACCCATGGTTGTTGCAATTTGAGTCAAATTGGTTTCCTAAAAGTGGTTGAAAATGATATGTATTACTAACACAATATGTAGTATTTGCCATGTCATTTGTTAGTGTTCAAAATTGTAATGACTTCTTATTTTGATTAATAATGTTTTGTTTTTTTTATCAACAAATTCAAGGTACCAATCTTTAGCCATGTACACCAAAATTTGCCATGGCCAAGCTAATCAATACTCAATATGATTATGCTCCAGGTTCAATCAAGTTACCAAGCACTTGAACCACGTTACTATGAGATTTATAGTCATCCAAGGAAGCATTTAATTAAATTCGCCTAAATAAACTCGTATCAAAACTAAAGTTGCCCGAATCAACTCGTCACAAACTTAAATTGCCAAGAGAAATGTTCTACTCATCAATGAACTTGGCAATTGCAAGTTTTCTATACTCATTATTCAATGATGGTGTAGTTCGTCCTAACATCAACTTGGGAATGGGGTCTAGTGTGACTTCTTGGGGCCTAGTGTGACTTCTTGGGGCCAAATTTAATGAAGGGGTTTAGAGGATGAGCTTGACACATTTAATAAGATTTAGTTATATTTTGACACATTCTAATTATTTCTTTTTCACATCATATTCAACATTTTGATAGATATTTAGTAAGATACTAGATCTTCTCTCTCTAGTTTTCTTTTTCTTTGACCTTTTTCTTTTTTAGACTTGTTCCATAATTGTTAGTAAAGGTTATGTTATCATGTATAGATAAATTTGGAGCCAAAAGTCATGTTATTTTTCCTTACAACATTGAATTCTATATGCGGCTATGATGCACAAACACGGACACGTTAGTTTTTGAAAATATAGGACATGAACACGGATTGGACACGGTATTATAGTTTTTATATTTAAAAACTAGTGTATAAAAATTAAATAAGTATAATTTTAAAAATAATTTCAAAATAATAAGTCATTTTATTAATATTTGTGCTTAAAATGATTAGTATTAGGATGTCAAGAATCAGGCGTTGATGTCGTTTATCAGTCACTGAGAGAGGAGATGAAAATATCTTCACTGCCAAAAATAAATGAAAATGAGAATATTCGATGATTGGGTATTAAGTGCGGACGTTGATTTGGTATTGTGGATAGGAAATAAGAAATTTAATTTAAATCCCGCCAAATACAAGAAATTATATTTAAAAAAATTCATAAAATATTTAAGATACGCATGTCGGACACGCGTTCCAATTTGTATTTAATATTTTTTTAATCGGACACGTTTTCGGCCTGTCTGACACGTGTCAGAGGAGTGTCGGACGAGTGTCATGTCGGATACGGTGTCGGACACTGCCCGCCTCTTTGAGAAGAAGTGTCGGTGCATCATAGATATGCGGGAACCCTCTCTTCTCCTTCAAAGACCTAACATTAATGAAGATTAATCCATTTTTAATCACTTGATGCTGCTTTGATGCTAAACTCTTTCTTGATTCTTTCTCTTCCTTCTCTTTAGTTGGACTTGAAATAACCTGTTTAGGCAGAGGATGGTACAAATAGTTTTTTTAGCAATATGACAGATCTTTGAGTGGGGGATTGGGAATTGCTATTCATGCTAAGGATAGATTGATTCTAGGGAATCACTTAGTTAAAAAATGCAGAGAGAATAAAGTATGTAATATTTTCAAAATTGCAGTTACAATTGTTTATCAAATTGCAAGCAATTGAAATTTTATTTATAGGAATAAGGTTACTAGATAAAATCAAAATTATTTAAATTTAAATTTAGACAAGTCCTAGAAAAACCTAGCTTCTAATTTAAAATAAAGAAAATCATAATTTAAAAATAACCTTAAAGTATTAGAAAATATGAAAAATGCATGAAAAAAATTGAAATGTCTTAGCTCGTCTAAACTCTCTTGGGGTAAATAAACTATTTCTTTGAATAGTCATGCAAATTCCCTTTCTTGAAACTTTGGTTTCCATGGAGGATATTGTAGAGCTGGCTCATTAGCGTCTCTTGAATCTTCAACATGCACAATATGAACAAAGCAAGTAAAATCTAGAGGTTTTGGATTCAGATGTCTTTGTTCACCATTCATCTTCATTTGATTAATACCTTAAAAGTTCCCATTAGTCACATGTTGGTGGAAGTAGTGAATGATTTGTAATTGGGTGTATGTTCCGATACAACCAATATAAAATTGAGTTGTGGAAGACTTATTGAATTGGTAGGAATGAAGGCTTTAAGTGGACCTTTGGGTTTCTTAAAAGCCTTAGCTTTTCATGCATGAAAGATTCATGATTAGAGTTAGGGATCTAAGATGAGGACTTGAATTTTCCAATGAAAGACACCTTCACGCAAGAATTAGGATTTCAAGAAACATGTGAATTAGGATTTATTGGTCTGATCGGTTAATTAATCTTAAATGAGACTGCTGTTATCTTAGGTGTAATATCAATACGGTTAACCTGCAGAGTAGAAGAGGGTTGATTAAACTCTAATTCTTAAATGCTAGCATTCTGCATCTCATATTGATTTTGATGCATCTGTCCTCTATTCTTCATGCTCATATTCAGATCCTTATTATGAGGGTTCTTTGAGGCATTCCTTTGATTTGGTTTCTTCTAGCATTTGCTATGTTTTGATATGTGCATATAACATATACTTTTTCCTGCTATTCCATTGTATTAACTTCAATGTTTTTTTATCATAATAATAGTGATGTATTTACTGTACTGCAACAATCAAATCTTATGTCTGCTATATATTCTCGAAGCCTTAATTGCCTAACTTTTCATGTATGGTGGTTTTTATTTCTTTTCTTACTTTTCTGTTATCTTGTGATCTAAACAATGTACATGATATACATTGCATTTGTTGACTTGCTAGGATGAGCAGCCTGATGTGCAAGGACTAGCTGCTTTACTCTCTATTGAAAGATGTGCAACTACTAGCCCTACTGGTAAACCTGCCTACATATGACTTGTATTTTATATAGAAAAGCCAGTTGGGTCTGAAATACTTTTCATATGCCTTGCCTTATTAAGGTTGCGATGCTCGAACTTGTTTTACTGATTAATTAAGGGGATGGAACTAATGGGGCTTTGCTATTTGTTTTTTATGCTATATACAGAGAGAATTGGAATTGGGTAATGGGTGGAAAGTAGTAAAAGTGAGGTGTGTTAATATGCAGCAAAAACAAATGATCTTGAACTAAAAGATCGGGTTATCTATGATCTATGTATTAGAATATCGAACTAGAACTATATATGTCTTACAATATACAATACAAATAAAGAATTCAAATAAAGAAGAAAAAAAAAAAAGAAAGAGGAGTGTATCGAACTTCAGTCAAAATACAATGAATATATGATAGAATTTGGGGGAAAAGAAATGGAAATGTGGATCCAGTCGTTTAGGGGCGGTTCCACGAAATTCTAATATAGAAAGAAGAAAATACTGAGATTAGGATAGGAATAATTCATAGTTAGAAAAAATTGTATTAATTCATTATTACGATATTCTTAATATTCTTCTATTAATGAATATGACTCTCTTTATTTAGATTTATAGTAATTAATAGTGATTCTATTTTCTATTATAGTACTTCGAAGTCATTCAAATTCTAATAATTCAAAAAAGAAAAATTTACGAATTTTCTTTCTAGTTAGTAACTTTTATTAATCTAGATATAGAATATAGATTCTTTTTTGGTTCGGGTCAAAAAGAAAATGAAGAGAGTTCTAAAGTGAAGTCGATCCAAAATGAAAAGGAGGTTCATGGCCAAGGGTAAAGATATCAGAATTAGAGTGATTTTGGAATGTACCTGTTGTGTTCGAAAGGGTGTCAATAAAGAATCGCCGGGCATTTCTAGATATATTACTTAAAAGAATCGACACAATACACCCAATCGATTAGAATTTAGAAAATTTTGTCGCTATTGTCAAAAGTATACGATTCATGGGGAAAGAAATAAATAGATGGAACGGAATGCGTGTGTGATTTTTCCAAGTAGCGGGAAGAGTAAGAACTTTACATCTTCACATATATAATACAAACCAAATCCTATTTTGGTCGAATCTGAAATGAATAAGAAAAAAAAGAGAATTCTATTTTCTAGATTCTTTTATATATAAGGAATAAACAAACAAGGAATAAGGAAACCATGGATAAATCCAAACAACCTTTTCGTTCATTGACAGTGTTGTGATACTGACGGGTTGCTGCAAAAACATAAAATGAAACTTCAAAATGCTACGACAGACAGCTTACGAATCCATGGAAAAGAGAGATTTAGAGAGATTATATGCGATGGAACCAAAAAAAGGTGCAGAATGTATAAAATTGTGATAACTTAGTAGACTTGGGTTCATAGCTTTCCCCTAAAGGTAAGCATAGATAATGGAGAGTTTTTTTTTCATCCGTTTGATAAATTTTTTTATATTTTCTTATTTACCCTTTTAGGGACATCCTTCGGGACAAAATTGCCTGCCATGTTTCTGTTGTTCCAAGAAATTTTATCTGAAGTTATATTTGAGGGTATATGTAAATTTTTCCTTTTTTTACTAATATGCGTTATTTAGTTTTATCCTTAGCTGGACCGTGATCTTTGAATTTTATATCATGCCTGTTATATGCATATTCCAATTGAAGCAACATTATAATTTTCATTCTAAATTTTCCTATCATTTTAAGGTTTGCTTGCTTTATCATGCTAATGTAAACGAGTTTTATATGAGATATTTCTTGAAACGCCTATTCATGGGCTTTTACCAAGCTATTGATGCATGTGAATCGGCTATCTTTCACCATTTTTTGGAGTGGAAAACCTTTATAGATTTGCATTATCACAAATGTTCATTGCTCTCAATTTCTTTTATCCTGTAGAGTATGCTGATGTTTCTGCTTATCGATTATCTCTCATGGAGGATACAAAAGCAATAAACCAATTGGTAATTACTATTGATGATCTTTATATTGATTTAATTCTTAATTTTTTTCCGGGCCCTTTCAGTGTGATAATGTATTTTGGTTAAGTTCACACTCATTTTTGCACATAGCATACCTATTATTTTTATCCTAGGAGTCTTGAAAAGTCAGAGAGGTACGTTGTGCATGATTCCATTTTAAAGGGAAAGGGTATACTTTATTATTAATTTATTTCAATGCGTGTCTCAGCCTTCTAAATTTACTTCAGGCTTCCCACCATATATTCTCATTTAAATTTCTGTAGAGGTCTGACATCATGTAAATATCAACTTATGGCTTGTTGAAATAGCTATTTTTTGCTTGATGAAAGACGTTCTTCTTAATGCTGTTTTTTTATTGAATTATTCTACTTGTTGCTGATGATAGAAATTGGAGATAACTTGTAGTTAAGAATACTGTATGGTTTCTTAAACAAGTGGTTTGGAGGGAAGCTATATGTTTTTGTGGGTATTGAGTGCTTTCTTACCCTATAATTAGAGTCAATTGGATTTGAGTGTTGAGTCGTAAATCAAACCCTCATTTCTTGCACAATTTTCCTCTCTGTTTTCCTTTCAAAACTTAAGAGATTCTCTCGGCTAAGTTCGAGGTCAAATTTCCTCATAAACCTACAAAATAATCCTTCCCCCAACATGATCTCTGGACCATGTCTTCCAACCGTCTAAACTCCCACCCTACCTAGCACTCATCCATACCAAAATATTCACCCACATCTAGAGAATAACCTTTAATGTTTAGCAAAGGTTTTTTTGTATAGAAGTAGAAAGAGGAGGCTAGACTAGGTCATAAAGTTGCTCTGTCTACTCATATGGATAGGCCATCTTTGTCTCATCCATTGCATCTACAAGCCACAGTTGATGGCTCTCTGTTTTGTGGGTTGATTTTTTGCCCCACCTGCCATGCCTATGTTTTATAATTTTTTTCTTGTTATACCCTCCTCTCTACTCGTACTATGTTATTTGATCGTTGCACCCACAAGTTACTTCTAAGCCTCACTATCACTTTGCTCTGAGAACGTCACACCCCATTTTGATCTCCTATAGTCAATATAATATGTAACAAGGAGAGAGAATCTGAACAAACCTCTCTTACTAACACCCATCCTGAAATACTTATGTCAAGTGAGTAGGAAATGGTCAATCCAAACTCTTCCAAAACTTCAAGTTTTTTGAAAACTTAAGACTAGAATCAATATTTCATAATTAGAAGCATGTTCAAATACATCTAGTAAATACCTCAAGTAAAATATAGAGCTTGACTAAATTTTTAAATAACATTTAACATACTCAAAAGTGTCTGTAAATCTTTCACTTGGACCTCTGTGCACACCCGAAACGTATGTACAGAAAATGGGTTGTCAACTATCCTGCCTATTATCCCACTGTTTTCTTTACATTTCCTTACAATACAACCACTGCTAATGAGCTAGAGCTCAATGAAATATGCAAGCAATGTATAAAAAATAATAGTAAACATATTCATAATCAATTGAAAACACTTGTAAATTTCTATACTAGATATAAGAGATGCATAGCATCAATTTCTGTTGTCTACTTTTCAATACTTTTATGCTAGTTATATGATGATTATATGCTTTTTACAGCTTCCTAATTCAAAATTGGGTTTGCATTCCCAACTTTTAGAATTGAAGTTAACGATAACACACCTATGATGTTAATATTGACACATAATATGATGAAATTTACGATAACACATCTAGACTATGTAGCTAAATATTCGATCGAACATCTTTTTGAATCGTCTGGGTCATATGCAGTTTCTTCTTGAATTTGACTGATAATCAGGATGAAACTTATAGTTTTGTTATCTGAACCCATTAGAGAATAATATTTTCACCTTCCGAGGCGATATATCATTCATAATGACGTGTTTGACTTTAAAATTGAAGTTATAAAAATAATTTTTTTTCAAAGAAATTACAATTTCAATTGTTTTGCACCTTTCCTTTCCAAATCAAGTAGTAAAAACATCTAGCTATATATTTAGACTTTCATTTATTATTTATTTTTTGATGATTTTAGTTTTTACATTGATTGCGAATTAGAATTGCACTTTTTCTTAAGTTTCTTTCACTATTTTGCTTTAGGGTGTCTCAGACTAGGGGTGTTAATATTTGATATGACATGAAAATCCGATTCAAATTTGCCTAAGCAAAGATAAAATGAATATAAGACCTAAAATCAACAAAATTTCAAAATTAATGTATGACCACTCTTAAAAAAATAAAAATAAAGATGTATGACTACTCTTAGGTCAATCTTTTAAAATGTGGTTAATATTTCACTAGTTCACTTCACAGTGACTACTGGCTAGTTCTAATTAGCCATACCGTTCATGCATAGCCTTGGTCAATCATATAGATTTTTATCTTTTATCACATAGAGGGATTATTCAACATTGCATTAGCATATTGCAATTCATGATTGGGCTTGATGCCCATTCCTCTCCTTTGCCTCCCATCACTCTCGCATTTACATAAGACTGTACTGTATGGATTTAAGATGCTAGGTGAAGTTTTAACTGATATCCCTTTTCGAGCAGAGTGGTAAATCCAAGTTGGGGCTGCTTAGATCCATGGTGGGATTTAAGTTCCCTTTACTGTCTTGCATTAGCTAGGTTGAGGACGTTAATGCTGAGAGTATAGTATGCTTTTTGTAGATCTAGAATTAAAGGCTGGTGGTATGAATATATTGTCACATGCCTTTTCATTTGATAAGCTCTCCATTCTTAGGAGGCTATAAATCCGACTTATTGACATCACACTGATGACATATCTTTCATCTTTCTCTCCTGCATGCTTAATGTATATGACTTCTCTTAAATTGATTTCTCCCCTTCTGACCGACTGAGTGATTGCATGATCTTTGAGTGTGTTGATTAGCCTATTGAGCCTATTTCTTTTGAGTTAAAAGAACCTAGAAATCCCACTATGCACCAGACCAAGAAGATGATAAACTATCATCCATAATCGAGAGCATTCTTAGGCCAAGGTTTATGATGTAATTAATCACGGGGGCTTGTACCCGTGAGAAACCGACACCCACATCAAATAATTCCCTCTCGAGTTGATGTATCAAATGGGGAAAGTGTCGTGACTATCAAATTATATATATTATTATCCATCGAAATGTGTCGGCGAAAGCCATCATTTTTCATGGATAATCATATGTATGATTCCATCTGATCTTTCATTGGCCTGCTTGAGTAGAGTATAAAGGTCTGCAACCATTTTGTCCGATGGGACAGTGCCATTATACTCTTTTTATTCTGACCTATGCTAGCAGTATCCTTTCGGAGACCCACACAAACGAATAAACATTAAATAATAAAAGTTACTAACTTGCTATAGCATAGCTATTATGATTATACGCACCACTTGGACCACATTCTTCTCTCCGATTTTCTCAATCTGTGCATCAATCAGTTCAAAAAGATTCATTGTAGTCTTCGAATATTCAAATGCATCTATGGACTACAAGAATATTGTATTTGGATAGTGAATTAACTAAAAAAATTATAATAAACAGTTCTCTATGATCAATTCACCTATCTAATACAAGAGTTTATCCTTGTCTCGCCAATTTTGTTTGTGATCCTCCAAATATTTCTTAGCATTCTATTCTCTTTTTTAAGTAGAGGGACTCTCAACTCATGATAGGACGATTATTTAAGCCTGGTTTATATTAGACAGTAGTCTCAATCATATGATCAAAACTCTCAAGCTTCACTGCATTGAAAGGAATGCTTGCTTGATAGAATTATCTAGCTATGTATTATATAGTTCTTTCACTTATTTTCATCTACATTTTTTTTTATTCCTATTTTCTCATATTTTTTCTTCTTGAGACTTCTTGTTCAATTTTTTATACAGGAAATGAGCCATAGGGCTGATGCATTGCTTCAAATGATCTCTTATCATAGTGCATAGACATTTGAATATCTGATTCTTCAATAATACTACCAAGCTCTCCTTATCTTCCATACAGAAATTTGTTTTATTTATTTTTGTTCCTTCTTGATAAGCAAAAAATCCCTCTCTTACATCTAAACACACCTTATTATACTAAGTAGCATTACTCTTTTTAAATGTTTTAAAAGGTCTGTTAGAATGCTCGCTGGTTCAAGATATACCGCCATTTGTATCTTTACAGTAATAAATGCATGCATGACAAAGAGTACTTGAATTGGATTTCAACTTTGTGTTTTTTCAAGTTGGATATTTTCTCCTCGTGTTTGGATTTGGCTATACGTAAATTTCTCCGTAAGTAAATAATTTAATATTAAAATAAATTTAATTTAAAAATTATAGAATTAAGATAATTAATTACACAAATAACATTTAAGAGCTTGTTAAGGAAATAAAGGTCTTAAATGCAGCTTCTTGATTAATTATATTGGGAATTGGACAATTAATCCTATTTATATTGGATTGGCTCTTGTGTTGCACCATATCTCGTGAGAAGCACTTTTCAATGCATGCTTATAAAAAGCCTTGAACTCATATTGTCGGTCTGGTAAAAATTGCTGTTATGATTATGTTGATTGTCTCAAGGCCTATCCCTAATTAAGAAACTCTTCTGCTATGCGCCCTATTTGCTGAGTGTTGCTCTCTTTATCACGGTATGGACACATAAGATATGTGTTAAATACTCATGATCAAATGGAGCCTGCCAACGTGCTACTTTCTCTGCAGCGTTGGCCGCTCTGAGCTGTTGTAATGCTCTAGAAGCTCCACTAGCTTCGTCTTTTGCGTTACTGCTATCCCTTGTTACTGATGGTTTGTTGGATGTCAACGGTCTCACTATTCCTTTATCCCTTGCATCTTCATATACGGTTGTTGGGCCTATTGATTTAATAAGTGCCTAGTCTGGAAACACTATATGTTCGCTTTCTGAGCGTTCATCAGTACTCCTACTCTTTCTTCTCCATGTGAAGTTGCAATCGTGCTCTGCTATGTTACATATGATTGTTCTGATGTGAAACCTGATGATTAAAGCTCTATCCAGTCTCAAGATTCAATCATAAGCCTTATTCGTTTTGTAGATAAAATGTTTCATCTTATGTTCTCTGATAGGAAATACTTGATTTCAAGTATTTCCTATTCACTTCCACAACAAATCGCAATACAAACTGCTGTCCACAGCAGGAAAACAGCCCAAAACAGTGGAAAAACAGAGAAAAATGGCAAGAAATTTGGAGAAAGACTTGTATTTTACTAATAGCTGCAAGAAAAATAGCAAAGATGCAAGGGTCCTCTATTCGAGAGGAGGATCGCACTCTCCCAATCTCTAGAGTTCGATCTAGAGCCCTAGCCACCAAAGAAGAACAAGAAAACTCTCTAAATATGACATAACCCTTATCCCTTCTTTCCTCCCTACTTAATGCATACAATTCAAATCTAATACAAAAGGACCTAATTACCCTTGCTTCCCCTCCTTTTGGCTCCAAGATTCAATTCGAATTTCAAGTGGTCCCAACCTAATTCCCCTCTTCTTGCTTCCGCCGGCTCCTCCTGGCGTATACGAGCTGAGCCGGCCCAAGAGGCTGGGCCGGCTGGACCGGTCCTCCTTGGACCGGTCTAACATTCTCTTGTTGAGGCAAAAATAAAAATATAGTTTTTCTTCTTTCTCTCAGGTTTATTTAATTCCAATCCAGACGCAATAACTCTTCTAGTGATTTTGACAATCTAGACTTAATAGGTGTTTGTTTTGCCCGCTTGCTTTTTTCTTCTTGGATAGATTAATTTTAATGTTTTCTTGATCCAATGCATTTCGTCTTTTTTTAGCTGGCAGTTCTTTGTTACTGCTAGTTAATGTAAACTTTTAGTTATTGAATTTGGTCGCTTAACAGAAGATTCACCCATTTCTCTACATACCACCAAATGCATTACCCTCTTCTTCCAAAATCCCACTCACCATCACCACATCATTGAGGTAATATTTCAATAGGCCAGCTCATGGTTTACTTGGTGAGGAATTATGATATCTTTTGGTCAAGTGGCAATGATGATTGAAACTGATTATTGCGAGAGATGAACTGAGGAACACGTAGTGCTTAATCTATGAAAGCTTGATTTATGGGTTCTACTTATGATGGATTTGCTCCTACAAAAAATTGTTATCCCCAAAGAATTTTTTGAAATGCAATTCCTATGCACTCTGTAGGGGCAGTTTATGTTGAACTTTAGAATCATTATGGATACAGAGAGCATCCTCACTATTTTCATTCGTTGAGGCTGTGTATCATGGTTGTCACAGGTGTTAAAAAATCTCAGTCATGACAAGGATTATAACGGGCCAACTCAAAATATCATGCATCTTTGGTTTGCTAAGATGAATATTGAATGTGATTTGCTACCTTTAATTCTTCTGTACACCGGGTATCTTCCCAGCTGAAATGTGTGGAATTACAGGAATGATTTCTGCAATATACTCAGCTACGACTTCATCTGTCCTAGTCTAGGCCTTTGATGCACTTGCTTTGTTGGCTTTGGTCTTACTAAAGAAAACAGACTCGCATTCATACACCTACTCCTTCAAAGTTGATTTTATATCACCTAATTCTTCTATTTCATTGATTTCCCTCTTACTTTAGCTTAGTATATCTTATTTAGCTCAAGTTTTGTTGATTTAGAACGCCAATATAGGCTTACTCCACTTGTAAAACATGCAGAATACTCTGATCCAGGAAGGAAAGGAAATGGTTTCAGTGCTGTATACATATCGCAGCTGTGTCAAGGCTCTTCCACAGGTTGTGCTCTATGTAACTTTCCAAATTATTATTGAGCCATAATCTGTTGTTCAACCATAATCTTTTCACAATTACTTTATTGAGGCTATTTACTTTTCTGGTCTGACTTGCTCTTACACTTTTTAGCTGATATGAAGGTTTTTGTTTTTATATTTATCTTGAAAGATTTATTTTTTTAAAATAAATTTCTTTTTACACGTGTAGACTCATGTGAAACATGTATTGTAATAATCATTAATCAGAATGAAACCTGAAGAGATGATTGATATTGGAAGTTATAATTATGTTTTCTTCTAAAAATGACTAAATGTGTAGGATAACTATTTTGAATTAGATTGTAAAGTTGTATCTTGTTAAATATAGACACAGTGATGGAAATCCTCATGTTTCTTTTCATCAAAAGCATCATATATCAAGCATTAATTTTTATGTAATTTATGTATTTGTTTTCTCTAGTAGGTTTCTATTATTAGTTTGTTTTATTTATTATTTTGTTTTGAGGGCTTGCCAATGTTGATGGCTTAAAATGGATTGTAACGACTGAGAAATGTATTTCCTAATTTTAGATTAGTTTATTTGATTAACAAGATTTTGTTCTTGATTTGGTTTAGGTTGATGCCCAAGAAGGTAAGTTATGTGCGTGTGCATTATACTTTCATGATGCTTATAATAAAGGAGAATTGGTGGCTATTTTGGAGGGTCAGTGTTGGGTTGATGGTGTTGAAATTATGCATTTATTAAAAAAAAGTTAATGCAGGTGCTATAATGGAAATGTTGCTTTATGTTTGCTTTGTTTGCATGCATGTAGGGATTTAGTGCTATAACTTGCGAATAAGTTGTGTTTTGTGAGTTGTCTTTTTTTCCTCTTTGACCTTATCTTGGTTCAAGTATGCAAGTGGCGTGATTCTTGGCAAGGTTTGCATACTCCCATAGAAGTGGGGACTCGTGACCTGATGGGACTGCAATTCTGGTGTTTTTGAAATTTCAAATTAAAATTAAAATTATATTAAACTATTTTAGAGTTTAACAATTAATTTAGGATTAATCTGAATTTAAATTAAGATTAATCCCGTGCCAACCTTATTTAAATGGATTGGTTACGAGTATTCTAAAAATAGTGATATGAGGTAAATAATTAAAAGAGAATATGAATATCTGACATAACTTAATTAAAATATTATAAAAAATGCTAGGTAAATAAATATTATTTATAAATTATAATCCTTTAAATTCAATCCTTACATAAATCTTTTAAGTATTATAAAAAGTATTAAGTATGATTTATGGAATTCTTGCTAACATTTTTCTTGTTTTTTTGCATCATTAATATATTGATTTTTACATATTATAATGTAAGAATTTAATGTGTAATTTCCATTAATTTGTGTAATTACTATGCATCATTTTTTTACATGTCACTTGTTCGGGGCTTGTTGTGTTTGTTTCCTCATGTCATGGGTGCTAGTTTTAGTGGTTTTAGTCTCCTATTGAGGCTTATCTTAAAAGAGTTTTTGTGTTATGATCCGACCTGAAGTCTTGAATTAATGAGGAACAAATGGTTGAACTTATATCATAATTCTTTTAACTACAAAATTAACCAATAAACTTAACATCCAATTTTATCTAAAGAGGCACTAAAATAATTTCTAGTTTAAACATACAATAAAACAATTTTTAACATTTTCAATTGACTCTTGTCTTCTGTACACGAAATCTTCTCAATTAGCCATTTAATCAACATGGGGTTTACTTGAAATTTTAAATTTAATGATTTGAGTTTTCAATAATAAATTCAATGGTTAATTACAGTTCATAATATATTACTAAACATGCATGCAATCAATTATACTAAATTGTCAAGCTATTTATTTATTTACATATAAATATTTAATATAAATCCGACTATTGAAAATTCTTGATTGATAAAATGTTCTTTAAGATTTCAATTCCTTTTAAATTTTTACCATTTTATTTGTTCATTTGTTTCAGGATTACCATCTAAAATTTTGGACCAATGAAGGTTTAACTATTTTCATTTAAATTTACATGTATGGGTACGTTACATCCTCAGCTAGTATTATAAGGGGTGAACTCTTACATTTGCATGCATATGTTTTTTCCATTGTAATAATTTCCATATCATATCATACTTCATTCATTTCATTTCATTTTTATCTACATGTACATATCAATCTATGCAATATGCATTATCTCATATATATATATATATATACACACACGCACACACACGTACATTATATTGGAATACAATTTTCTCATTTAATATAAAACAATCATTTTAAAATTGAACAAGTATACATATAAGTTACAGTATAAATTAGTGCATTAAGCCAATAATTAAACTGTTTATGCTATAAAATAAAATATAATCTCCCACTTCACTTCTTTTCGTGTGCTGAAACCCTCCCAAATTCCTTGAGGTCTTAAATGACCTTCCTTATTGCACCACCTTAAATCAAAGACATAATTTTATAAATTTACTCAACTATTTTAATATTTATATTTTTTTAACTTCAAATTACATCTACATTACCATATTAAATTCTTACCTAAACATCCCTGAGAACCTTTGCTTGATTCTGATATTTTATCTCAACTCAACAATTTAATTCCTCCATTGATCCAAAATAGCATTAAGCACTATTAGAATTAAATCATGAAGATATCGAATGTCACCAAAGTGACATTGAATATCATCAAAATAACAGAGAACACATCAAACATTATTAAAGACAATGTCTAATGTGTGGAACGTTGCCAAAAACAACGTCAAATGCCCCCAAATTTTCAAGTCATATTTCTAATTACATTTCCTATCATATTCCATGAAAACTATATTGCTTACCTACAATTTATTCCCTCGTAGAATTTAGATAGTACCGATTGAACTTCTTTCTATTGAGCAATTGCATAATCTATTTAAATTAGTTTAATCAAATCAAAATCATAAGTCCATTCTTTTCAATGCCAAAAATTGAGATTCACTTACTCTATTCCTTCCTTTATGTTCCTAATTCCATTGAATTGGTTGAGGCTTTTTTTAGTCTTTGATTGAAATTGTGAACCCGTTGGTAGTACTCTACTCCATCTTATTCCTCTTTTTTCAACCTCGCCAAATTGCTCTAAAATGGAGTCAAATGAAAAAAATCCTGTGTACTTCTTGTCGAACATGACACCCAAATTCCTCTTCTCCTTCATCTTGGTTGGGCACGACGAACATAAGAATGCACAAAACTTGAGTTCTTTGTCTTCTTCTCTTTCTCCTTCAGCAAACATGAGCTGACCCTTTCCTCGGCCTTCGATCCTTTCAAACTTTGCGAAATCAATTGAATTTTGGAGGTGTTTGATCTCATTTTTTTTTTTGCATGTTTTGGGTATTATGGAAGCCATTAGGTGCTGCGAGTAGGTGCTCGCAAGCATGCTAGAGCGAACATGCAAGAGCACATAGGGCTTAGAAATAGAAGAGCCTGGTTGGAGAACTGATGTGAGGCCTAGCCCCACGGTGAGCGCATGTGAGTATGGACGGGTGATAGGGATGAGTGGTTAGGGTGTTTGGAAGGGAAATCTTGGAGAAGAGAATGTTTGTATATTTTTTATTAGTTTATGTATTACCTAATAAAAGGTACAAGTCTGGATTGTTAGCATATTCTAATTATAATTGTTTGTTTGAATACATTCAATGAGATGCATGATCTTCGGTTACCAAATTTACATTCACTTTATATTTTACTTGAAGTGAAACCATATCTTGATTTCTGTTAGCAGTACGGGATGACTATTCTAATTATTTAATCTAAGAAAGATGGACTAAATTGTCATAAATTAACTTTTGATTAATATTTTACTAAATCCCTATTTGAATATCTTCGCACATTTGAAGCCCTAATCAAAGGGTTATTGAGGAAAAATTAGCTTTGTGGTTCTTAAAAAAAAAAAAAAAATTTTTTTGGTTCTTATAGTTTCTCGTAGACATTACAGATCTTTTCTTGCTGCAGAAAATGAAGTGTGATCAAAGGCCTTAAAATTATTGGTGCAGACTATTATTGCAATTTGCTGGCCATTTTTTCATTTTTTAATGAATGGTTTTGTTTACATGATTCTTAGTTATTTGAAGGCTAGCCGGATGATTAAGAAATTAAGATGCGCATGCAGTAAAGTTTAAAAGTAACAGCTTTTATAAATTTGAAAGATGGCATCTACAGCTTCAATTCAGCAGTTTCAGCCGCTGCGAAACTGTCTAACATAGAGATTAATTTTTAATAGCACTTTGTATGCTGCTTGGTATCTAAACTCTAATAAAGAATCATTGTGCCTTTGTGCAACTTTTGCCTATTTGCTAACAAAAAACTGCTGTCTATGAAATCAACAATAAAGTATTCTATATTTATTTTTTTTCTATTTGGTGTAGATTTTATACTCAGGATTAGTATGGATGAAAATATCCTTCAATGTTATATTATTTATAAACTATTCAAATGACACATGCGGACTCCGACTTATAGTGAAGCTATAACTTTTAATGTTATTTCCAGCAAATGTTAACCTCTATCTCTATCTTCAACCTTTATTTTTATGTGATATGAGACTGAGAGGTATGAACTTCGTATTTAGCTGCCTGATTCCATGAAGCACAACCAAGCTGACCTGTACCTTGAAACCTACCAAGTTCTTGATCTGGAGATGAGCCGTTTGCGTGAAATTCAACGGTGGCAGGCATCTGCAGCTTCAAAAGTAAGCATCTTCGTAAATGCTCATCTTTTATTTATATTTTCTCCTAATATTTTTTTTTATTTTGTTCATTTATTGATGAAACAATATCCAACTTTAGATGAAGATTTGTCAAAGATTTAATAGTGCCAGTGTTCGATCAAATATTCTTTTTCAACTTCCAAACCTAATGCTCTTTATTTACTTATGAGATTTATTCTTTAGAATCCCAACTGATTCATGGACTCATCTTCTATCCGCTAATTATTTAGTTTATGTGCAAGCTATACATTATAAAACTATTTCATGTTTTGAATCATCAAACCGTGGAGTATCTTTTTCATAATAATGAAAATTGGATTTTGTACTTAAAGCATCCAAGATGCTACCTGTATAGGTGGGTCATATCATACTTTGTATTCATTGAGAATCTAAACCGTCTGCTATCAAACACCAATGTCATTTTCAAAGATGCATACTATATAAAGACAATTATCAATTATGCTACTATGTATTCATTTCATATTTTTAATTGATGATATAAATGAAAACTTGAATATAGTTAAATTGAGCATGATTTATTTACTTTGCTGGTTGGATATTGTTTTAAGTTGTTTTATATATCCTGAGTGTAAAACCTAAGTTGTTTGATTAGCATAAAGCATCACAAGAACATTAGGCTGTTAATTTTATCTAATTTCAAAGTTCTAGATGAAGATTTTATGTGGTCTGTGTTAACTGTCTTACCGGCTTTGAGCCTAAGCCTAAGACTGATGTATGGAGTACCATTACATTGCCAGGTGCATGACAGTGATTCTGACAATTGGAGAGTTATAATCTCCACATCTTTAGATTTGTAATCCTATCTTGCATTTTTTTTTGAAAAGTGTGCTATGATTGCATTTGTTTGAGAAAGATTTGACTTGGAATTTTTTTTTGAAAATTCAACAGTTTTCTTTCATCTCATGCAGTTGGCAGCAGACATGCAGAGATTTTCTAGGCCTGAGCGGCTGATAAATGGGCCGACCGTAACTCATTTCTGGTTTGTCAATCCTTATGTCGTATATCTTTTTAAAATTTACATGGTAGGACTGTTTGATTGGAACTTTATTCAGCATCTACGATTATGACTGTGGCTTTGGCAACATGTACTTTGCTATTTTTTCTTCCATTTTTAAAGATAGCAGAGCTTCTTTCCCTGCAAACTGCAGCCGATATGCTTGCCATGTAATTGCTTTTGTGATTGAGAAATCATTAACATTTTAAGCAGCTCAGTTAGCTAGAATGAACTTGTCAGCAGGTCAACACCATGAATCAATGTTAGTCAAGAAAACTTTGATGTTTATTTTCAAGCAGTGTTTATTTTGGGTTTGTTTTCCTAAACATTTTGTAGTCTTTATTCTTTTTGGATTAAATTAAATTGAATTTAATAAACAAATAGAAACACCAGAGCACCTCAGGGGAGTGAGACCTAAACATTACTGATTTGTTACGCTCTTCTGCATTTTGTAGTCTTTACTCTTTCTGGATTAAGTCAAATTGAATTTTATAAACAAGTAGAAACACCAGAGCACTTTAGTGTGGGTGAGATCTAAACATTTCTGATATGTTAACGCTTACACATGAATTTTTCTATTCATTAGCTTGAAAAGAAAAATGTTCCTTTATTGATTGTAATTTGTAATAAACCTAATTGAGTATAAGGTCAATAAATAGAACTTGGTATGGTGTGTTCTTCTCCTAACAGTAGAAGAGAAGCAGGCTTTAGTGGGGAGCTAGACTTGTTTTGGAAGACATATGAAGTATAATACTTGGAAAAAGCTGATTTATGTTCATAGCTTTGTCATGGTAGTCATCCCGTGGCCGAAAATGGGTCGAGGTTGGCTGAACAATTCTCCTTGGACATTCAATGATTGTTTGGGCCCTGCTTACCTTCATCCATTCTCCTATCCAAATGAATTTAACCTAAGGCCTCTCAACCTTTATGTTTATTCTCTGCCACTGCTTAATCTTGGTAGTTTTATTGTTGTATTTTCCTTAATTTTAATTCATACGTTTACAAGATATTGCTTATTCAAGCGTGGATTAGATTGGGCGTTCAATACTATTGTGCTGGAAGATTAAAGTAGTTGATTTTTGGGCCTTATCTGTGCTTTGTCATGTTTAATTCACATATGAAAAGTTTATCAGTTCTAGCTTTCATGGAAAACTGGATGTGATTAATTTATGGATGTCCTGGTATAATTTTAACTTGTATGGTTGACATGAGGTTATTCGACCAATTTAACTATTCATGTGTTATACTGCTTTATTCTAGCATCAGCCTGATTAACAATTTAATATGAACTGATGGCTTAAAAGTCCAAATCTTTATTCAAACTAGTGAGCCCTGGCCATGGGGTTCATATTTTGTTTTTCCTTTTAGTTTTGATTTTGAAATAATTTGTAATTGACTCAAAGTTCCTTATCTCATTCTCTGTAGAATGTTGAGGGCATGCTATTGTATTATTTGCTAGCCAGCATTGTTAGACAGGACAGCTTTCCAGCTGGGTTGTGTACGCATATGATCTGGTGAGTTGGAAGTGCTTGTGGATGTTGTTTGTAGGATCTTTTGTAGATTAAGATGAAAAATATGATTTATGTTGCTCCCTATTGTCTAGTGCAAAACTTAGAAGTACGGAAGCTCATATGTTGAAAAATATGATTTAGGTTGCTCCATATTGTCTATGGTAAAACTTAGAACTACGGAAGCTCTCAACAATATCACGAGAAAGTGATAAAACAGAGTGAGAATTAGAAACTAAAGTTAGAGGGGGCATAGGTTGGGTCTAGTACTATAGTTTTGCTTACATGTGCCCACCCATTTCAAAGAACTATGAAGTCTTAAAGAAGTTGAAGAAAGTAAAGAAGGTGTGGCATCTATTATGCCGCCCAACGGTGTTTTCATGACCCGACCCGGATATTCAAACTAATGAGGGAACTGACATTCGGACGATTAATACAATTACTACAATTACACATAACAGTAATAACTAACAATCCACAAACATTGAAGAGCCACTAACAAATTATTCATTTGTTCATGAATATAAGCCAGATTATACCTGTTATCATTTGAGCACCTTCTTATGTACACAAATCCTCTCTTTTAGGCATTTCTACTTATCAAGAGACTTACATGAAAATATTAGTTTAATAGAGTGAGTTTACAAAGTAAACTAGTGGGTAATCACCATTTCATATACAATAGTTAGACATATAAAATAAAACATACATATTTTTTTATATTTCTTTCATAGTTAAAATATGCATCTTCTTTCATATACTATAGATTTTATAATTCATCTTCCACATAAATTACTTCTTATTTTGTTTCATTTGTCCATTTTCATTTAACATTTATTTCATTTTCATTAGTACATGAGCACATTCTAAATGTACCAATAAATGTACAATCATTTCTATTTTCTTTTTCATTTTCATTTAACGTGCACGGGTACGCTGCTTCCCCAACTAGTACTATATAGGGGTGAACTCCTGTAATTTGCATGTTTGCACCTTTTCCTTCTTTCAATACTTATTTTTTTTGTTTAAATCATCATTTAGTTTATTCCATTTTTTCTTCACATTTTATAGTAATCTATGAGGACAGTTTATCCATATACATATCCATCAGTAATTCAATTAGTCTCCAATTGGTTACATTATTTAACATTGAATTATATTAAGTACTTCAGGTGTGTTACAATATTTGATGCAAGCAAAAATTTGGGACCGAAATAAGAACCTAAGTAGGAAATAGAAATGACACAATTTCTCAAAAACTAGACAAAATATGACTTTCAAGGCAAAACACAAACTCCACTTTTATAAAATAAAATGACTTACAAACTTTTGAAATTAAAACGACTTACAAATTTTGACTCTTACAAACGACTCAAACAAAACACCTAAACTTGCTTTCCTAAAGAAGAAGGATACAATGGAATGGATACTTGCGGAGAGACGAAAGAGGTTAGAAGACAAGACGAAGGAGGAGGAGAAGCTCGCAAGCTTTCCTAGAGGAGAAGGAGAATGGAACAAGCTCGCAAGCTTTTCCATGAAGAAACCTGCAGGTTTTGACTTCCAAAAATCACTCACATAACATGCATCAAACAGCCACAAAACATCTTATATTTATAGACAAGAGAGGGAATACAAACAGCCACTAAAACCATTAATTAATTCAATTAAAAGGTGCAATTGAAAGGACAAAATTTCAGTCCAGATTTCTGTCCGAAAACATTAATTAAATGCTGAAAATAGAAGGCCTAAAGACACCTAAAACAGCAGCTCAAAAGCCATTAATCAGCAGCCCAAAAGATCTCTTAAAATACCTAAATAAATGAAGGAATTGAAAAGCCAACAGCAGCCCCCAAATTTTCACAGAAAACAGAGCACCAATTTTCACAGAAAACAGAGCACCAAAGCCACGGAACAAGCCTCCAGCAGCCACGGGAAAGCAGCCCAGCATGGGACCCGAAGAGCCAACGCCAAAAACAGAAAAAGGGGGACCACGGGACAGATTTCAGGGAGCAAACCAAAGGGTCAACAGCACAAGGAACCGAGGTGGCTATGGGGAAACTGAGAAGGCAGCATGGGGAAAGGAAAGAGCCAAACTTTTCACAATAATGAGCTGCCACTAAACTTGAATAAATGAACTAAACTTCAGCTCATAATGAGCTAATGATGTAGGCAAGGGGGGGGGGGGTCAAAACAAAACCCAATATTTGATTTTTGACTCCTCTAGCTCATTAATGTCTAGTAAAAAAATTAGCTCATTATGAGCTGATTTTTAGTTCATTTATTGAACTAAAAATGAGCTCATTATTTCTTAAAATGATTTTTCTTCTTTCCCCTTTTTTCTTCTCATTTCCTTGTCCCTTCCCCTTCTCCTTTTCTTCTTGTCTCTTGGAGAACCGTGGCTTGCTTTTAAAAAGGTGGCTGATTTCAAAGCATTTGAATTTATAATTGTATACTTTTTCCTTTGGGAGTCCATCCGGTCTCAGATTTCCAACAGGGATGTATTTTCCCGTGACTTTGCTGCTTTGAATTCGGTCTGCTTGCTGGCCCCTTGATGCCGTGATTACCAATGATTCCTGCTGGCTGTTTCCCGAAATCTGTGACTTTGCTGCTTTGGATTCTGGCGGGCTGCTTGCTTTCCGAGAATATGGCTCCTTGGTGCCGTGAGTTACCTGTGATTCCTGTAACAGAATTAATGTGGGTTGTTTTTCTGAAATAGCTTGGGCTGTTTTCGAAATGGCTCTTGAAAATCTATAAAAAAATAATGCTTGGGATGTTGTGAACATTAACTAAGGTGGCTTTTGGCATTCTCCTACTTATGCCTATATATAGTAGATGTGTTGGGTTATAAAATAGTATGTGATAATGTGATTTTTGGAGATAAAACCTGCGGGTTTGTTGTTTGGAAAAGCTTGCGAGCTTTGTCCATTCCCTCTTCCACCTCCTTCGGAAATCCTGCGGGCTCTTTCCAACCTTCGTCTCGACTTCTAATCTCTTTCTTCTATCCGCAAGTGCCACTCCATCAGTATCCTTCTTCTCTATGTGAAGCAACTATAGGGTGTCTTGTTTGAGTCATTTGTAAGTTTCAAAGTTGTAAGTGTCGTCAAGTAAGTGTCTATGTTTGTAAGTTTCTTTATATAATATAAAAATTGTCTTTTGAGTATTTTTATGTCTTTATTTTGTTCTTAGAAAGAGTTTCTTTTTTGTGATAAAAAATTTGGGTCCCTCTCCCAAATTTTTGATTGCATCAGCTAACCAAGAGCTCAAAATAATGAGCTAACACTTAAAATAGCTCAACACCAAAGCAACCAATAAGCCCAAACCAAGAACCACTAGAAGTCCAAGGGTCATTAAATTTTGATTTTGTTTTTACCCTCCCTTGCCTATATCAATATTCTATAGTAACCATGTTGCAAAAATCTCACATTTCCATTTCTTTTATTTTTTCTTAAATTTATTTATAAAATACACATTCAATCAACATTATGCCATAATCATGCAATAATTGCATTAAATAAAAAGAATTTGAAATAACATAAAAAGAATCTGGCATTGCTAGAATACAATTGAAATTACCTACTTTATTCTGTTTTGCATTCAAATCCTTCCAAATCCTCAATTTCTGAAGTTGACTTATAATATTTGTTTTAGTTTAAAATTTTCCCCTCATAAAAATAATTCCTTCCAAATGAACTTTTCCTTCCTTCACTGTCAAATCAAAGTTTATGTCACTTGGATTCTCCCTATTGACAATATTATTTTACTTTTTAAATTAGAGAAACGACAATATAAATTTTCTATCTAAGCTGAACAACAAAATTGACAATTTACATTTACTATTTCCTCCACTGTTAGAAATAGAAGAAACCCCAAAATTTCCAAAGTCTTCCTCTTTTTTTCCTTCAGTTTTTCTTCCTTTTCCTTTAGTCAAGACATTCCCCATTGTTTATGTAAAATATCAAGGAAAAATTTATACAGAAATGGAAATAATCAACAAACAGACCTTCTTTCTTCTTCTTCCTCTAGTTCATTGCATCTTTCTCAATTTTTGCTTCTTTCGCGATAATGAACGGAAAGGAGGGAGCTATGATTTGTTAGGAGTCATTCTTTTTCACTCCCATCCGCGCTCACTGGCTTTAATCCGCCAATCGAATCCTTCAGGAGCGCTCATGCACGAGTTGGACCGGCCGGCTTCGCATGTTCGTTGTTTGTTCAATCGGACTTGTACTCGTGCTTGTTATTAATTGGAGCTGGCTAGTTCACTTGAACCGGCTGAACCGACTCTTACAGATGTTCGGTAGTACTAGTGTTTGACACTGTTTGGCAAGGCTTAAATGCCCCCATAAGTAAAGCTTGGTGGCTGCAGGATTTGTAGTGCAGGTTGGCATTTGCGCTCAACTTTTCCAGTTTTTGTACTCAAATAGAGCAATGCTGTGGCTTGCAACAAGTGGTTTAGATGATGTCGAGTATTTATGGTAGACATGGAGACATAGGAGGCATCTGTGATCAATTGAGAAGTTGGATGCAGCTAGGATTTCAATGTTGGATAGAATATTTTGTCTCCAAGGAGGCTATCAAAGCTTTTCAAATATTTATTTAGTTTTGGGGGTCACTTTACCTTGTTTATGTGATCTCAAATGTGCATTTGTATATGAATAACTGATAATAAGGATTTGTTTTTCTTACAAATGCATACTTAAAATAACCCTAAGTGACCTCACTTTTTTTCTCATTTACTTTTTGGGGTTAACTTTGCCTTGCTTATGCGATCTCAAATGTGCATTTGTAGATGAATTACTGATAAAAAGGATCTTTTTTTTTTCTTCTTATAAGTGCATACTTAAAATTAACCTAAATGACCTCACATATTTGTTTTCAATTTCGAACCACTAGGTGAGTGCAAAATATAAATATATTTTTTATGAATTCGAAACCATAATTTCGTTTTACCATTTGGAATTTGCAGGTCAATGTTAAAGCTGCTTGATATTTTAGTGCAACTTGATCATCTTAAAAATGCCAAAGCAAGTATCCCTAATGATTTTTCATGGTATAAGAGGTATAGCAGCTTATCTTCTATAACATATATTTTCACTTTTTTCTTTTGCCTGTATTTTTCCCTTCCTAAAAGCTGGAGAATATTGAATCATTTGTAAGAAGGATAAATTTCTATGATTCAGTATGAATAGCAATGTTCAAATATTTATTTTTATTCATCATTTTTTATCCTTGAAGTGGCTCTGTATATGTACTACTTCATGTAGAGAAAATGTGTTAAGTATCCTTTCATGCATGGTAGCCCAGATTATTTTCATGCATGATAGCCCAGATTATATCTGCTCTTAATTAACTGTTTGGCAAAACAACATACTGAATATTAACGAGATAAATATGTTGTATGTTTAGAGTTGTTACAAATATTGTTTGGATTCCATAGATGTAAATTAAAGTGCCACATGCATGATACATGTAGTTCGAGTTCCTAAGACTTTATAGTGGTGATATTGGGATAAGTGACTAAGAGATGTGTGATTGCAAGTATTATGGGTGTTTTGTAAAACAATTGTAGGCTTTAGGAATTTTCCACCTTGTCTGAAGCCATGAAAGAGCAGCTTTCCACCCTTCAGTGGCAAATTACCACTGTACCACGACGAGGGTGAACTTTTCCTCCTATTCAATTTTCTGCATAATCTTCTTCTCTTATAACTTGTGAATCAAGCACAAGGAATCGTGCAAAGCTATATGTCAATGCTTAGTAAACGTAGGGCATGAGTTTTGATTTTCTATGCATTCTAATCTCATTGTTAACCTAGGGATGCTATTGAAAATCCTCTAAATTTGCATATGTTGAAATTCTAATTGTTTTGGAGATTTTAACTATTAACGTGTAATTTGGCTTAAGCAGAGCCACCTCTATTTTGTTTTCTATTATTGTTAAGTGACTAACGTTTTAATTCTTATTGCTCTTATTCAAAACGTGCAAGTTCTTATTACATTCATTTAAATCATTCCTAGTTCTGCATCAAAATGTTAGTGAGCCACCTCTCTTTTGTTTTCTATTATTGTTAAGTGACTAACGTTTTAATTCTTATTCAAAACGTGCAAGTTCTTGATGCATGCAAAAATTAGGACAGCCCCTAATTTTTGCAAGCAAAAGAAAACTCTTCCTAGGACAATAAAAAGGATACAAAGACACTCTTGAAATAACAAAAACAACAATTTTATAACATATAAAAAGGACACTTACAACTTATGAAAATAAAACAAACACTTTACAACTTTTGACGCTTACAAACATAAACATAAATAACCTAAAATTGCATGTCCATTGCTTGAGAAGAAGGATACAAGTGACATCGATAGTTGTGAAAGAAGAAAGAGATAAGAAGTCGAGACGAAGGGGTGGACAAGCTCGTAAGCTTTCCTAGAGGAGAAGAGAAGCACAGAACAAGCTCGCAAGCTTTTCCAAAGAAAGAAGAAAAACCCTCAGGTTTTTGACTCCAAAAATTCCATCATAACGTCCTTCCTTTTTTCATTATAAAACATCTAATATTTATAGGAGAAAAGAGGGCAGCCAAACAACCCATAAAACACTTCCAAATAAACCAATCAGGTTAGGGAAATGAGAGACCAGCTGGCTGTTCAGAAATGGCAACCAAATAGCCCAAAAAAGGCCAAAATAAATTTCATAACAGCACCCAAAAAGGCAATACAGGAAACCATTAAAAGCAGCCACGGGACAAGCAGCCAGGGAAGGAATTGAAGGGGCAAAAGCAGCCATGGGACAATCATCCAGGGGAGAAACCGAAGGGGCACAAAGGGGATTGGAACAGGCACAAAAGGAGAAGGAATTAGCCATGGGAAACAACACTAGGAAGGGAAAACCAAAGAGGCCAAGGGAAGGGGAAAGAGGATCTAGGCGGAGGAATTCAAAGGGCCACATAGGGGGGAATGAACCTAATTAAGGCCAATTTATAAGCTGAATAACTAGTGGCTTAGCATTAATGAGCTGCCTTTAGTAGAACTTACAAAAATTTAAAACCCAACTTGTTTTGACCCCCTTTGCCTACATCAGTTCTTATCACATTCATTTAAATCATACATAGTTCTGCATCAAAATGTTAGTATACTTAATAATAAGTTTCTTACTATAGTAAAGATTAAGTATCTCAACTGAATTATTAGATCATTTTCGAGACGAATTTCCTAATTAATCATAATAACTTTTCTCAATTAAATATAAATTCCTAAATTGTTAAATCAAAGCTAAATCAATTAACATTAAATGATATTTTTTTCTTAAAATGTGTTCTCCTCTTTAAAATTTCCAATCTTATAAACTTGAATCCAAATTTAATTCGGAGAAGAAAATACTAAAATAAGCTTTCTATTGGAATTCTCCAATTCTCATCTTTGCCATCTCTTCGTTTTTCTTGTTCACCTCTTCTTCTTCTTCCCTTCTTCTTCTCTTATTCCTTTCCTCTTTTTTTTTTTTCCTTGCAGTGAGAGCCCCTCCTCTTCTTTGTTTCCTATACCAAGTGTCCCCTCTTATGCCCGATTCCAGCTCCCCTCTTTGTTTGCTGAGCCTACCCAACCTCCAACCGTTATGGTTTAGAAGGAATAACGATGGGATAAGACAAGGGACAAATTGGATAGAGATAGATTTTATTGATTTATTATGTAATTAAGCTATCCTATGCTATCCCCACTATCAATTTGTCTATTTACCCTCGCATGGCATGGAATGTTGGAAACATTTGATTTTGCTACGGTAGATTAGTTTTGCTATAACATTTGACTAAACCTGGGAATTTTTTTAAAATGTAGAATTTTTTAGAAATAATTTCGATGATTTTTGGGATGTGTAAAAATGTGGTATAATTTTTAAAATTTTGGTATTACAATATGCTTATTATGAACTGTTAAATTTAATTTTGGGAAAATTTCTCACGTGTTGTTTGGATAACTCTTTCTTTCATGAGTTTTCTTTTTCCTTTTGTGTTCACATCATTTTGTAGCTAACTTTTTATTATTTGCCTCCTCTGCCTTCTCATCCTATTTCTAGAAATTTCTTCCAAGCGGATCTCATTGCTTTTGATTCTTGTCTGAGTGAAACTTTTTAAACACATTCTCAAGACAAACTCTGGTTATCCCCTGCTTTCTCATTGACTGGTCAGCCTGCCTATGAGTGTTCGTTGCCTTTTTTCTCGCATGTTCTATTTACAAAATGAATGCTATTGTTATATCATTCTCTCACCTTTACTATGGATTTTAATGTGTTGGCTCGAAATCTTGTTACACAGAACTTTCACCCAAGTAAGCATGCAGTGGCAAGACACTGATACAATGAGAGAAGAGTTGGATGATCTGCAGGTATGTGAGTTTATCTTTGGTAAGCTTAGTATTATTGAGCCCATTTTCTACTTCAATTATACCATTATGCCTAGGATATATTGCTAAACTTAATGCATTCCTATAGACTTTAACCTTAATGCACTCCTTTCATTATCATTCATCTATTTTCTGTCTCGAAATTTCATTAATGTTTATGCTACTTTTGATAAGTGCAGATTTTCTTGAGTACTAGATGGGCCATATTGCTAAACTTGCATGCTGAGATGTTCCGTGCAAACACGTATCCTCTATTCAAATAGATCCATGGACATGCCAGTGTCTGGATTTAAGGAGTGCAAATGTTGTAATTAAGTTTCAATAATTGCTGATAAATTTTTTTAAATTGATATTGCTCAATTCTGAAGATTTCATGGTGATTTAATCACTGTACCGGATTTTTTTTTTACTTTTCACGGTTTTTGTATATATTTATGTTGTATTTTTGTATACTTTTTCTTTGTTCAAATCATTGTTAAGAAAATTAAAATAGATCATGATGCAAAAGTAGTCATAGCAGTCACACCTTTATATGGTTAATTTATAACATTAATGATTAAACCAGGTGTTTCTACATTAACATTCTTTTTTGGTGAAAATTATTTTTGGAATGACTTTGCTTTTGGTCTTTATGGTACAGGTACAATTGTATGTTGCAACATGTAGAACACATACGTGCATGTGAACAGACACATGCAGATACCTGCATGGACTGTTGCCAAGTGCATAAACACACTACCAAGAGAGAAAGGAGAGGGTAATGAGGGAGGGAGGTGATATTGCGTGTTTGTGTAAGCCAAGTAATTATCTCACTACACTATCACCCAATCTTCCTGGGAGGTATGAATGGAGGGCGGAACGGGGATGCACACCCATACCCACACATAAATAAATGCTATGCGGAAGTCCTGTTGCCAGCATAGCATACCAGCATCCGCCTCTCCTGCCTGATGCGATCCCTGCTGGTCAAACCCGGCTGCTGCCAGTAGCAACACCAGCTTAGAATCCATAACATGAACGCTATTTGAGGGCCAGCTGCTGCTTCTGCCACCTGACCTGTTCCCTAGGGGCTTGCATGCTGTTTCTGCTAGCTTTTTAGTGTCCCTTCTGCTTGATATGAAGGCTGACAAGCATTTAACCTTCTTGCTCAGCAATCTTCACCCTCCTACTTGTCATAAATAGTCTGCAAAGCTCAATTGGAATGATTTCTTTAAATAAAGAATTCATTGTAATTGATTAGGTCAATTACATTATTGTTTTTCCCTTTTCATTAGCTATGTTTCGCATATAATCATTTTTTCTATTCTACCAATTGTAATAAGACAAAGAGATTATCATTTTCTTATCCGGACACCGGACCTATCTCTGCATTCAGACGCCAATAAAAAGTGGACATGTGGGTATATAAAGGTATAAGTTTTTTAATTTAATATTTTGCTTTATGTCTTGTCAACCCGATCGACCCGACCCACCAGCCCAGGGAAAGGGAATACAACATTAATGGAAATGAAACATTTTTTATTTTTCATCCGAAATTTTCACTTCTCCTTCACTCTCTGCATTGACTCGTGCGGTTTTTTAATCCTTCGGCATTTCCACTTTGCAAGACCACCTTCCCAGCGGTTAGAGTACTAAAACTGCATTTAAGAAAAGGTAATGCTGCGCCTTTGTTGCGCCTATACTGTGCATTTGCTGCGCTTTATGTGCCATTTTACTTTAAATGTATTATGTTTTGCCTATTAAACAAAAATTTTCTCACATGTTTGCCTAACAGAGGTGATGATATCAAATAAAAGATTGATCTACTCACTGGATCTCTATCAACTGAAATAAAAACTGAAATGACAAAATTAAATAGATTAACTGATAAAGTTACTAAGTTAAAGACTTTATAATATTTTTGTTATTTAATTTTTTTTACTAAATAAACATAAAATCCTTAGAAGGCTCATATCTGTAGCAAATAATATAAATGAATTCTCTTCTATCAATTGAGCTTCATGTTTAAGAGATTTCATTGTTGAGAAATTCGATAAAATTGTTGACAAGTTTGCAAAGGAGAAACCATTGGGTTACATCAATGATTTTTTCCTCTCATACTAGTAAGTTTTCTCTACTATTATTTCCTCTCATAAAGGTTCTTAATGTTAATTTATAATATTTTATGTATAGTATTATATATATTTTGTTTTGAAATACTTTTCCTTTAATAAATCATCTAATCTAGAATTAAGACCGCGTTTTTTGAGATGGGAGGGGAATACTGAAATATTCTATACCCAAGACAGTGCTACCATCTTATTTAAAATTTTGAATTAAAATGAGGTACGTTTTAAGATTAAATTTCAATTTTTTTTTCATTCGAAACGCAACAATAGCGCAACAAAAGTGCATATAAAGCGCAACTATAGTGTAACTCAAGTGCAACCAAAGCACAACTAAAACGCAACTATAACACAATCAAATATTAGTTAATATTAGTTTTAAATTTTGTGCAAATTTTTCTTGTTATACAGAATATTACTAACGAAAAAGCAGAAAAATCTGGGGCTGACTTAAATGCTTTTCAAAACCTGAAAATTCGGCCTCATTAGTATCCCCACAAAATTCATTCACCACAACAAAAACAAATTCACTCTCCCCCACCTCCTTCTCTCCATTCTCCTCATCAATGACCAGCGCCTACTGAACCTTTTACTTAACCTGCTACTCAACGTCGTAGTGAACCACCTCTTCCAAAAGTTGAAGATTGATCTACTGGAAACATTGCAAAATATGTGCAATAGAATTGAACAGAATTTGGAAAGAAGTGTGGATCAACTTGAAGACAATTTGGAAAATTTTGAAGCAACTGTAGATTTTTTGTAATACAAATTCATTGATCATCTAACCAAATGTGAATATAATCCTGATAAATCTTATATATCTACATCTTCCTAAAGTATCAAATATGTAAAAAAACCTAAAACTACAGCTTTTCCTCCGCTATCACCCAGTAAAGATCTTCCTCCACAATCACCCTTTAAAGATTTTACTCCATCATCATTCAATAAAGATTTTCCTTCACCAATACCCACAATAGATGTTCCTCCACCACCAGCAGCCAATACATATATTATTCAACTATCAAACACATCAAAAGTTTAGCCATTGCAGTACTTCCAAGCAGATCATCTAATACTAACTAAAAAAATAAAAAAAAGAGAGATAACAATAAAAAAACTGAAAGATCGGAGATATTAATGAAGATTAAAGAGGTTATTTCTATTGATAATGTAAAAAATGAACCTCGACATGTACAACATTTAATGGAATATCTAGAGAAAAATTTTCTAACTACTCAGCAACAAAATTTTATGGATGAATGTTTCAGAAAGTTTGATAAAAAGTAAGTTCAGCCATTTACGCTTTATTGCATTTTTTATGCGCTATATGTGTGCGCTATATGTGCGTATATGTTACGCTTTGGATGCACTTTCTTTGCGATTTCGTTACACTGTGTGCATTTTTGATGCGCTTTCATTGCGCTATGTGTGTGCTTTGGATGCACTTTCGTTGCGCTATATATGCGCTTTAGTTGCGCTACCTTTGCGCAAAGATAACACAACTAAAGTGCACACATAGCGCAACAAAAACGCTTCTAAAGCGCACACATAATGCAATGAAAGCACATCCAAAGCGCACACATAGCGCAACAAAAATACATTCAAAGTGCACACATAGCGCAACAAAAATGCAAAGAAAGCGTATCCAAAGTGCCATATAAGTGCACACATAGAGTGCATAAAAAACGCAATAAAGCATAAATGGCTAAACTTTTTATCAAACTTTATGAAATATTCATCCATAAAACTTTGTTGCTGAGTAGTTAGTAAATCCTTTCATGGATATTCATTAAATGCTTTGCAGGTCGAGGTTCAATTTTTACATTATTAATAGAAATAATCTCTTTGATCTTCATTAATACCTCCGATATTTTAATTTGTTTATTGTCTTCTCTCTCTCTTTTTTATTTTTGTGGTTGATATTGGATGATCTGCTTGGAAGTACTCTATAATGACTGAACTTCTGATATGATTGAAGGTTGAATAATATATGTATTTACTGTTGGTAGTAGAGAAATATCAGTTTTGAGTGGTGTTGGAGAAAAAATTTTATTGGATGATGGTGGAGTAATGGGTGATTGTGGAAGATCTTTACTGGATGTTGACGGAGGAAAATTTGTAGTTATATGTTTTTTTACTGATTGGATACTTGAGGAAGATGTAGATATAAAAGGTTTACCAAGATTATATTCACATTTAGTTAGATGATCAACAAATTTGTGTTGCAGAGAACTACAGGTGCTTCAAGTTTTTTCAAATTATCTTCAAGTCGATCCACTGTTCTGCTTAAATTCTGTTCAATTATATTGCATATGTTTTGCAATGCTTCAGTAGTTTATTCTGAACAGTAGATCAATCCACAACTTCTGAAAGAGGTGGTTCACTAGGAGGTTGAGTAGCAGGTTGAGTAGAAGGTTGAGTAGGCGGCTGAGGAGAACTTTGAGGTGGTTCTTGATGAGGAGAATGGGGAGAGGGAGGTGGGGGTGTGAATTTTTTTTGGTTGTGGTGAATGAATTTTGTGAGGATATTGATGATGTCCGATTTTCAGATTTTGAATAATATTTAAGTCAGTCCCTAATTTTTCTGCTTCTTCTTTAATAACATTATGTAGAAGAAGATAAATCTGCATAAAATTTAAAATTAATATTAACAAATATATGGTTGTTCTTTAGTTGTGTTTTGGTTGCGTTTGAGTTGCACTTTAGATGCGCTGTAGTTGTGCTATCATTGTGTTTGGAATGAAAAAATAAACAGTTAAAATTTAGTCTTAAAACGTATATTCTTTTTCTTCAAAAATTTAAATAAGGTGGTAGCAGTATCTTGGGTATAGAATATTTCAGTATTCTCCTCCCATCTTAAAAAACTAGGTCTTAATTCTGGATTGGGTGGTTTATTCAAAGAAAAATGTTTCAAAAATCAAATATGTATAATACTACATACAAAACATTATAAATTAACATTAAAAATGTTTATGAGAGAAAATAAAAGTAGAGAAAACTTACCAATAAGAGAGAAAAAAATCATTGATATAACCTAATTGTTTTTTCATTGCAAACTTGTCAACAATTTTTTCGAATTCCTCGACCATAAAATTTCTCAAAAATGAAGCCCAATTGTTAGAACATAATTCATTTATATTGTTTGTTATAGATATGAGCCTTCTAGGGGTTTTATGATTATTTAGTGGAAAAAAAAAGATAACAAAAACTTTATAAAGGTCTTTAACTTACTAGCATTATCAGTTAATATATTTGATTTTGTCTTTTTAGTGTTAATTTCAGTTGATAGAGGTCCAATGAGGGGATAAATCTTCCATTTGATATCATCACCTCTGTTAGACAAATATGTTAGAAAAGTTTTGTTTAATTGGCCAAACATAATACATTTAAAGTAAAAAAAAAATATATACATAATTCCTTATTCAAAATATGACCTGTCAGCAAAGCAACCTTATCATAAGTGAATTTAAGTAAATGACCATTCACAACGAAGTCTTCATCAGCAAAATTCCAAAATTTTAGAATCTCATATAAAAGTGGTATACACTGCTGGAATGCTGGAAATTTAAAAAATTGATGAATGGTCAAATTCTTCAAAGCCTGCTTAACTTCTTCGTCAATTATTTCGACAAATGCGTTGCAAATTTTTTTGGAAAGTGGTATCATAGCATCAAGAAGTAACTGGCATTTGATACGACATCTGAGAAAAAAAATTATAAAAAAGAATTATGAAAAGCACAACTAAAGTGCAACTAAAACGAAGATAAAACATAAGTAAAGCGCAATTAAAATGCAATTAAAGCTCAACTAAAGCGTATGTAAAGCACAAATAAAGCACCACTAAAGCGCAACTAAAAATAAATTTCAAAATCATTTAATGTATTTCATATTCATTGATGAAGAATGTTGAAAAACAGAACAAAAATATTTTAAAAAAACATTGAACAAACTAGTATGTATGAGATGAACCCTAAATCATAAACAAATAAAATGACACATAAAGCGCAGCAAATGCGTAATATTGGCGCAACAAAGGCGCAACATTACCTTTTCTTAAATGCACATTTAGTACTCCAACCGCCAGAAAGAAGGTATTATAGAATGAAAATGCCGATGGAATTGAGAATCGCACGAGTCTGTGTGCAAAGAGTGAGGTAGAAGTGAAAATTTCGGGTGAAAAGTAAAAAACGCTTCATTTCCATTCATGTTGTATTCCATTTCCCTGGGCTAGTGGGCCGGGTCGATCGGGCTTACTCGACATAAAGCAAAAGATTTTATTAAAAAAATTACACATATATACATCCACATGTCCACTTTTTATTGGCGTTCGAACGCAGAGATAGGTATGGTATCCGGACCTAATAATTTTCCCTAAGAAGGATTTCTTATTTGAAAACAAGTCATCAGAGAGATACAATTGCTACGTGCTATTATTAATGTTAAATCCTGTAGACGAAGGGATACTCTCATGGAGCTGTTTTTTTGTGAAGCATAGGTCTTCAGAATAGATATTTGTAAAGAGATAACTGGCTTACTTTCCGTAGAGTATATATTAACGAGAAATTGTTAGACAGTGATTCGAGTCTGAACCGCTTGACCACTTGGGTTTGTATATTTGGAAGCTTGTCTGAGAGCAGACACATGCATATTTATGTTTCAGAGTCACTTCGATGAAATTTTCATCTGCTTGTAGAAGTTACATTTGCGCACGTTGTGTTTGTTCTTAGAGAAGAATACATATTTATGATCATATTCATCAAATGAGGACACTACGGCTGCATACCAAAATGTTGCATTATGCACATGCAAGTTGAAATGGGACACATAAACGAAAGGAAGAGTTGGAGAAATTATAGAAGTGTTGTATTCCTTTTCTCATGGCTTGGTTGGTGTGGACGAATGAACTATCTTCTCCTATAAGTATGGTTTATGAACCATAGATATTATCACAAAAATCATGGGAAATCCATTGGGACCATGCATGCTGATTCTATTTCATATAAGCTCTGTTTAAAATTGCGCAATAAGAGGCGCGCCTCTGCGCAATTTGACCCAAAACCACCGCAAGGCTTACGCAATTCCTCTCCTTGCAGAGGCGTACGCCTCACTTGGACTGAGGCGCGCCTCAGAGGCGCAATTGCTCAATTCTGGCTGAGGCGTACGCCTCAAATATATGCTCAATACCGCTCAGTACATGCTCGGTACCGCTCAGTATATGCTCGGTACCGCTCAGTATATGCTCGGTATAGCTAGGTATTTGCTCGGTACTACTAGGTACATCCTCGGTACCGCTTAGTATATGCTCGGTATAATTAGGTATTTGCTCGGTACTGCTAGGTACATGCTCGGTACCGCTCAGTACCGCTAGGTACATGCTCGGTACCTCTCAGTACCGCTAGGTACATGCTCAGTACTGCTAAGGAACATGCTCGGTACCACTCGGTATCTTCCCATAAAAATAACTTACGAACTTCAAAAATAAATAGAACTTCAAAATTACTCTTACAATAAAATTTTGAAGTTCTTCATGAGTGCATGCTTTGTTCATGAGGGCATGCTTTGATAGAACTTCAAGGTCGAACCCCGCCAGGGGGCAGCGCCCCCTTGGATCCCCGGCAGTCCGGCATATTGTTCATCATCTTTAGTAATAGTTGTTAGTGTTAGTCTACTTCTTCATGAGTGCATGCTTTGATTGGAAGATATTGGACTCTATAGTAGAGGAGGAAGGAGTGAGAAGATTCCCTTGAAGACCCATTTAGTGATGGGTCATGATTGGATTATATATGTTCTTTCTTAATTATACTTTGGCAGTTCTGATAGACTAATATTTTGTGGTTTTGTACTTTGGGACATGATTTTATTGCATCTATTTTCTTACTTTCCCCTAATTTTAATTGTCATTTAGATGTTTTTATTGTAAGATATATATAAATAAAATTGGTAGCTTTTATTGATTAAATGAAAAAAAATTCTTTAGGAGTATTTAGGGATATTATGTGAGTAGAAGTTATCTTGATGATTTCTCAAGGTAAATTTTACAAAATTGTAATTAGGTCAGCTATGTTGTGTACAGCCAAGTGTTGGGTGTTAAATAGGTCGTTGATGGCTAAGTTAATGATGGCAGAATGAAACGATAAGATGGGCGTTATCATAGCATATTAGGAATGATAAATAAAAAAATGATTATATTAATGGATTGTTGGAATAGCAGCTATGAGGTAGTTGAAAGTATGCTTAGGTGATTTAACATGTAAAACAAATGGTTATAAGGTTGATAAAATTAGTGCTGAAGGCTTAGAAAGAAAAAAAATAGCCATGGTAACTTGGATGGAAAGTTGTTCAAAAACATTGGTAAGGAATAGTTTTGCACCATATGTAACACTACAATAATGAATAAAAAGGAGGATTCATAAAACCAATTACACAGTTGAAATAAGGCTAATGAGGAGGATTTAAAAATCAAAATGTATAGATGCACATACCCTATACAAGAGACAACTTGAAATAGGCTGACTATGTTTAATAGATCCGAGTATTGGGTATTAATTAAGTTATTGATGTCTAAGATGGATGTTTACCATACCATGCAGTTGAATATATATTTAAGTGGTTTGGATATCTACAACAAAGAGTGAAAGTGTACCCATTTGGCGGGTAGATAAAATGTGTTGAAGGATTAGGAAGAAAAATGATAAACCAAAGGTAAAATTTTTGGAAGTTGTTTAAAAAAGATTTTTAAGGAATGGTTTTTTCAAACATGCCTACATGCCTCCGGCCATCCCTATATGTGATGAACTTTGGTTTTTCTGTTAAACTTCAGAGTTTTAAAACTTAAAAAAAAAGAAAAAAAAGCAAGTCAACTTTCATTTGAGTAATCTACCACCCAGAAATTTAATTGCTTGTTCTTGAATAGTAACTCTTTCCATTTTCTGTTTGCACATGATCCAGTTCTAGGTTGCATGCATATCAGCCACTCTGTATGAAGAAGTGTATTACCGCTTTTAATGGTTTAGAGTTCATTTATTTGTACTTTGAATATTTTTTGGCTTGTTAGACTAATTTGTGTATTTTATTACATGCCTTAATAATGCAAGATCCATCCATTGCAATACATTTCCTTAACTATAATGCAGTGTCGAAGACATCCTACAAGTTCTTATTGTGTTTTGTGTCGAATCGTTAGAGTTAGATTTTGCACTACTATTTCCAGAGCGCCACATGCTACTTCGTGTTTTGCCTGTTCTTGTTGTTTTAGCTACCTCGTCTGAGAAGGATGCAGATTCACTGTATCGAAGAGTGAAAATCAACCGCCTGATCAGTATCTTCAAGGTTTGGATTATTTTACTTAGTCTGGTTTGTCTATGTTTGTACTAACAATGCATTTAAAAACCAAAAAAAAAAAAAGTATTTAAAAACCAACTACTCTTGTTGGTATGATTTGTTGTTTACTTTTTGGATGTAATATTCTAATACATTTTTGTTTGTTTGTTGCTTGTACTTGCAGAATGACCCAGTGATACCTGCATTCCCTGATCTTCATCTTTCTCCAGTTGCAATCATGAAAGAGTTATCTATGTACTTCCCCAGTTTTTCCAGCCAGACACGTTTCCTTACTCTTCCGGCACCACATGAAATACTTCCTCGTGAATTGCAAGAATATCCTTCTCAAATCTATCATTGTTTTTTGGACTGAAAGCTTGGAAATCCTTATTGAAAAAGAAAGAACAAGTTTCAAAATTATAGGTTGCAGGAAAAAAATAAAAACATAAAATAACATTAACAGTAAAGTAGAATTTGAGTCAAACTATAGAAAAATAAAGATCAGAAGGAATATCAGGGTGAGACAAATCCATCTCCTCCTGGCCTGAGTACATACAAAAGTAAGGCAGAGAAAAGATATTGAAAAATAGACATATTTTCTTCTTAGTAATCTTGGTAAAGTATCTATTATTTCTCTTCTTCCATATTAGCCAAAGAGTAGAAATAAAATATCCGGATCTTTATCGTCTCTTTGATAGGTTAATCTCTTCATGAGAAAATGGTGGGTCAAACTAAATGTTGGAGTATATCTCCAAAAGATGAAATGATCAACGTCTACCCAAATGATCAAAACTTTTAGTTATTTTCTTAATGTCACATGTATCAGGGTAGCATTTTTGTTTTGGTTATTTCAAATTTGAACATTTAGGCAATATGAATATGTTTTCAGAAGCACTTCTCTTTACCTCTTATTTTTTGTTTTTTGTTTTTGTTTTTCAGGGAAAATCCTCATTGATAGAATAAAGGTGATATTAAAAAACAAGTACAAGAGAAAATAGAGAAACAATGGCATTCTAAAATGATAAATTTAAGAATAACTAGAATGAAACTCAAGAAGTTTTTTTGGGAAGGAATTCTACAAAATTTGTTTGATGTTAATGTTCTTATTCTTTCAACATTATTGATCCAAAACTAAGTAAAGTTGATAATGTTAAACCATTGGATTGATGGACCGGTTGAGCCTGTGGCCCCACTAGTGTGTGCGACGAGCAAGGGAGGGGGGGGGGGGGGCTTCAAGGGGATTAATTTTACTTTTAATTACTTATCATTAAAAACTAAAATTGCGGGAGAATTAGGAAGGTTTATTTAGCGAAAGAGGGTTGATTTGAATTCAGACATGGGAGGGAATTAGGAAGGTTTTTTTAGGGAAAGAGGGATGATTTGAATTCAAATTTGGGAGGGAATTAGAAAGATTTATTTAAGGAAAGAAGGCTGATTTGAATTCAGATTTGGAAGAGAAATAGGAAGGGTTATTTAGAATTAATTAGATTTTTTATTTTCATTACGTGAGTTATGTTTTGCTATAGTTTTCTTTGGAGTTGTTCCTAGCGGTGCTTTGGGCAAGGTAGAGTCGATCTACCTATAGAATAGTAGATCAATTTGTATCTTTGTTTGTTGTGCCGATATCTCCTTCTTTCTCGCTGATTTCTGCTGCTCTTTCTCTTTGGGAGGGATGATATAAATGTAAGAAAAGAAGTCACCCTCAAAACCTCTGAAGCCATTCTTGATATATGCATTTCTCTAGGTAGATAAAATTAAGTCAAGTTATCACTCAGGGGTAGATATGCTAAAAATATCATATAGCCTCCCCAAAATATATGAGATAACACTACATTCAAAGGAAATATGGAAATTATTTTCCACTTTATATTGATGTATGTTTTTTTGCTGACGATATTCTTCTTTTGATAAATCTGGAGAGGGAGTTGAAGGAAATTTTGAATTACGGAGGTCAACCTTAGTGTCTAAAGATTTTCATTTGAGTATGGGATGTAAAAATGCATCGGTAGGGGAGCGTTCCGCCTTAGAGGGAAGCACCCGCGCAAGCAGGTGTGGACGAAGCGGAAGCGAGAATGTCGGCTTGAGTAACGCAAACATTGGTGAGAATCCAATGCCCCGAAAACCTAAGGGTTCCTCCGCAAGGTTCGTCCACGGAGGGTGAGTCTGCATAGAGTATAATTTTAGTAGCAATCTAGTCATTAAAAAGAGTACACATTTTAAATATCTCAAGTCTATTATTTAAAGCGATGGTGAAATAGATTTAAATTGGATGATTGAAGTGGAGGAAGACATTGGGCCTATTATATGATATAAAAGTACCTCTCAAACTTAAGAAAAAAATATGTAAGATGCTGGTGAGAACTACAATGTTTTACGTCATAGAATGTTGGCCATTAAAACAAAAGCATAAAATTAAGTGTTGCAGAGTTGAGGATGCTCAAGTGGATGAGTGACTTTACACTTAGAGACAAATTGCAAAACGAGTATATTAATGAAAGGGTTGGAGTAGCTCCAATGATAGATAAGATTAGAGAGAGTTGCCTTAGATGGTTTTGTAACATAAAGGCTTGATATTGTTATTTTTGTTGTTGTTTTATAAGATGATAAGGAATAATCCCTTTCCATAAACCATGCCAACCAAGACCAATAGTAAGATGAAGTAAGAAAATTATTATAGTTCCTGCCACATGTGAAATATCATTGAATTGCTTAGCAAATGAAGAGTCGCTAATCCAATTGTTTATTTAATTTTTAATGCTCGTAGCATCATGAATTTTCCAATCGATGTAAAGATGAAAACTATAGAAACATCTCTGGTAAAATTATAGCAAAGAGGGACATTGCAAGATTAGAAATCCAAGGAAGTCATGTTGCTACAATACTAGTTTTGAGTTATTGAACCACCAAAAGAATATTTCTTTTGTTGAATTGACTTTTAAAAATGAAGAGAAAAAGATCAATGCCAAGTATCCCATTAACAATGATATGAGAAGTTGCATGGGAGAGAGGATCCATGATCCATGTGATAAATCTAGGGGAATAAAAAAGTCTTATAATGGTATTATATAGAAAATTTCTGTTGCACCTATCAAGTGCCTTATCAAAATCCACTTTGATTATTAATTTCTCATTCTTTTGCTTGATACTAGAATGAATCAATTCATGTCTATCTGCAATACACTCAATAGTTCTCCAACAATAAAAGCGCCTTGAGAGTTTCCAATTTGGGCAATAAATATTTTTAGTTTCTTAGCAAGCACTTAAGTGAAAATATAGAATGCACCATTGAGGGGAGTAGTAGGTCTATAGTTCTTAAGAAGTTCATTATCATCTTTTATAAGAATCAGGCAACTGAAAGCTAAACTGAAACTAAAAGTAGAGGTTTGTCTAAATATATATTCAAACTTAGTGAGGCTGTCAATTTAAAGCAGGGACTGGTAAAGAATTTGACAATGGGTGCACTGACAGAATTTGATGGGATACAAGGCAAATCATCTTGGTGGGGATTGGCACTTAAAGAAAGGAAGGGTTATCGAGTTTTTTTGGGTTTAGCTATTTGAGAATATCTGGCTCGACGCATAAGCCATGTGATGAGCATTATGCAAAATAAGGGTTCACAGGTTCAGTTGAGGAGAGAAGAATGTAGAATATGCTGTGGAATTGAGTGTGAAAAAGGAAAGTACGTTAAATGAATTTGGTAATTTGCGGAGGTTTTTGGATTGGGATAGTATGTTAGGACCTTTTAAAATCATTGAGAAGATTGGAAATGTTGCTTACAGACTTGCTCTTCCAGATGACATGCTAGATATATATAATATTTTTCATGTGTCATTGCTAAGGAAATGGGTTACAGATGCCATGACCATCAGAGAATTTCACATGATGAAATTGAGCTACAGAAAAATCTGACTTACATTGAAGAATTAGAAAGTATACTAGATTTTGATACTAAGCAGCTCAGAAAGTATACTAGATTTTTTATTCGAAATCTATTTTTTTGTTAATTAGAAGTATATATAAATTAATCTAATTGTATAATTTAATTGAATATGTATAACTATTAAATCTAAATTAATTAACTATTAATAGTTAATAAACTTTCAATTTTTTACTTTAGCTTACCACTTACCTAAGCATGCGTTGGGCTGATTACTGGAAGTGGAATCCCACAACTGAGAATTATTTGGGAAATGCTGTAGTGGAATGCAGTAAATTATAATAGTATATAATTTAAGTTAAAAGCTATGATGCACCGACACTTCTCCTCAAAGAGGCGTGCAGTGTCCGACACCGTGTCCGACGTGACACTCGTCCGACACTCCTCCGACACGTGTCGGACACGCCGAAAACGTGTCCGATTAAAAAAATATTAAAAACAAATTGGACACGCGTGTCCGACACGCGTATCTTAAATATTTTATAATTTTTTTTTTAAAATATAATTTCTTATATTTGGCGATATTTAAACTAAATTTCTTATTTCCTATCCACAACACCAAATCAATATCTGCATTTAATACACATTCATCGAATATTCTCATTTTTATTTCTCTTTGGCAGTGAAGGTATTTTCATCTCCTCTCTTTTTGCATAATTACAAATCTTTTTGGCATCTATCTAATCCCCCTTACCTTGGTAATCCCCCATACTAAGTCAAACATCTACAACAATATCCACAGCAACCCTATACTATAATTCAGCAAACAGCAGCCTCGACTATAATCTTAGGCTGTAATTTCAGCAATAACAACCTACTTTCAGCAATAGCATGCTATCGCACTACACAAATTTAAGATATTACTCACCAAATTCTGAATTCAGCAACTACCAACTGTTTCATATACCTGAATATCAACAAATATCAACATGTTCATTGCAACAACACTAAATTCCAGCAGCAGTACTGAATTCAGCCCATAACTATAGCATCTATCTAATCCCCCTTACCTTGGTTTGCTGAAATTCTCCCCCACAACAGCTTGCATGAGTTCTGTCCAGCATTACTTGCTCCCTCTTAGCTCACAATTTTCTACTTATGGCCAGCAAAAATCCTTCCTCCATCACCCAAGCACGCAACCAGTAGCTGACCCTTAGAGTGACGGATGGGAGGAAAAGGCTTGTTTTAACTGATTTTCTTATACTAATATATTATATTAGAATTCCACTCAGATTCCACTCTTACTTTATAATACAAGTACATCCACTAAGACATTTTCCTGTATTGTTAGCGGTTGGATGGAGTAAGGAATTCATTAGCCGATGCATGTAAGCCTTAGTGGGATTTTCTGGCAATAGACTAAAATAAATTAACTATTAATTAAATTAATACTTAGTAT